AATATAGTCTCTCCTCAGGGTGGTGTTTAGCTATTCTAGTAGACAGGTTAAATTGTAATCCCCACCGCATGGCTGCTGTAGAAAAAAGCAGCTTTGAAAGTAGCTAAAAGTGCATTTTGCAAGTCCCGGGTAATGTGTTTTAAAAGGTTTAGAACATAAACATTCACGTGTGACAAGGGGTATCTGAAGGAAAATAGATTCAAGCAAGACAAGGGGTATCTGAAGGAAAATAGAAAATAGATCCCTGCTTCTGCATTTATGTAGTGCAGGGACTTAGGCTCCAAGGGGTGGGTCTAATATTATGAGGACTCACTACAGGAGCAAAGAAAGAGCAAAGAAATTGTGAACAGGCAGCTAAACATTTAATTTAGCTGAACGCACAGTGCAAGGAACTTTGTTCAAAGACAGATATTTCACACATCCCCTCTCTCTCATTCTCCCCCCCCTTCAATCAATTAATTTACCCTGGATTCCAAAATGGCACTTGGGAAAGCAGCGCTGTGGGAGGGGCAGAGCACATATATCCCCATTCCTGACGGGCGTGGATTGACTTACCTGGCCAGCTGTCAGCATCAACTGTGCAGGCAAGAAGGTAAATAATCGCATTGCCTAATAGCATTTTGAACAATGAGCACTGCATTAGAAAATTGCTTTCAATAATAGGAACCCAAAAGAAGATTTCATTGAAACCGAAGGTTATGCTATTTTTATTCAATCTAATGTCTTTTAAAGAAGAGCAAATTGTTTTATGATGCTGTGAGTAGGATATATTGCTAGGATATATTTACAACATCTATCACCTTCTCAGCTCCCAAGCAGATGGGTTCTGATGTACCTAATACATTTTTTAAAAATGTGGGCATTTTAATATTATTTTATTCTTTGTATACTTGACAGATTGTTTCTCATTTTTGTTATTTATGAAATATAAAATGCTGCAATATTTGAGTCTCTGTATTTTAAATAACAGGAGCTTACATTTCTCTTTTGCAAGGTAAGTTGGAAATGCTTTTGATGACATCTTTTATAAGAGTCCTTGCTTTTATATTGTTTATCATTTAGTTAGTAATAACTAGGTTTGCATATTTATTCGAATAGCATCTATCTGTATAATCTGGAGTTTCATTCCTGGGTTATTAATATCTTTATGGAAATGATAACGTGTGAAATATTTGGGGATATAATTTTTTTCTCCCTACTATATAGGAAAGAATGTGGGTTTTTAGAAAATCTATCTAGTGTCAACTTTTACATTTATGCTATAAAAGAAACTGTGTTTATCAAGTGAACTATTTCTAATATAGTAGAAAATTGATCAAAAATGATTCTGTAATGTGACATTTCTATTGATTACAACTGCCTGTAGGATGTAGACAGAGTTAATATGAAATAGTGAATAGTTTTCTAATATTTCAAACATTAGAATTACTTACAATGAAAATGGGCAGATAATAAATAAATCCCTAAAATCTTAGTAAGCACTATTTCTTAGGTGCCACCACTGTTATCTTCACAAATAGGATACAAAGATGAACAAGAATGGGAAACACACATTTGAGAGAATTGTGTTAGAAAGCAAGGATGGAAATATAAAAAACAATTATCTTTCAGACAGAATGATAAGGGACATAGAAATATGGACTTGTGTTTATATTGGTAACATGCATTTGTATGTATATGTTCTTACATGCTGTGAGTGCAGCATGTAAGAAAACCCACTGGGAACTGAAGGACTTCCTTTGTCAATTGTAGAGTAAAATTCAAATTATTATAAAGATGACAGATTAATAATGAGGTAAATACACTAGAGTCTACCATATGTTAATAAATTTGAATTTGAGAATCAAATTCTTTCACTTCCTTAGGAGTTAAATAATAACTCTCTTACTCGGACAGTATTAGAGGCAAAAATGTGGCAATATTTTAATTGCTATCAAAGTGAGTTTTCCCTGAATAAAAATTGCTTATTAGTTCTTTCCTAGATTACTATTGTCAGTAGGAAGTGATTCTGGGTCATTCCCAATTTGGGAGAAGGTATTTGCAATCTTGAAACTCCAATCTAAACATATGATACTTTTGTGTAGATTTCAAGGCAATGTGAAGATTTTTGAGCCAATGTTCAGTCTAGAGAAGCAATTCCCAAGGAGATCACAGGAGCCTGGGCAGACACACTACTGCTCGGGATGTCCTTGTCGGAGAGCAGATCAGGGGGCTGTTGGTTGCTGGATTGCAGAGAGGATCTTTCTGCAGCTATGGTCATGGTCAGGGTCAGAGTAACTGGTAGCTGCAGGAGGTGTCTTCTGGCACTCAGGACCTGGCCTTGTAGGGCACCATCATTGTCTGCTCCAGACCAGCCTGTCGTAGGGAGGAGGAGAGAAGTTGGCTTGGAAACCAGAGCAAATTCACTGATTTGCACACTGGGTTTGTCACTTCATGGTTGGATGTCAAATGGTGACAATTTCTAACTTACAAGATTTTTTGAGAATGAGAGTTTGTGTTTGTAAACTGCCAGGAACCTCATGGACTCAAATGAAATGGCAGCTTATTAGAAAACTCATGGTGGGTAGAGGTGGCACTGATTCCTTGAGCTGAGTCGAGTTTTGAGGGAACTCATTCTTTTAAAAGATTATTGCAAGTCTGACAATAATGACGATGGAAGTAAATTATGGACAAGTTTTTCGAGTTGTAGCTTATTAAGAGGCAGCCTATGTCAGCAATCAGCCTTTTGACTTAAATGCAGTGACTTCTCAGGTGGTGGGTGTTTTCCAGAGTAGATTAAAGTAGCTCCTGTTCATGCTTGGGACGGTTTCCTAATTGCATCTGGCTAAATTTCATTGTGAGAAGTTACTCTTCTTTTTTTCGGTATAATCTTGGTTCTTGCATTAAACACAAACCAACTCGTCAAGCCTTAAAAGTAACACAGCAATAGCACATTTTGAAATCAAACTTCACATGTTATATATTTTCACACATATATAAGATATACACACGTATACATATATAAAAATTACATACTTATAGATAAACACGTGAGCACCTATGTAAGCATTTCTAAATATGCATAAGAAATAAAGGTAATTTGCAACCAACACCCAGATTGAGAAACTAAACATGTCTGTTTCCTAGAAACTTCTCTCATTCTCATGCCTGGGTCTCACGGAGCTCAGGAGCCAGTTACTATCAGCTCATGAGAGCTGATTCTGCTCATGTTTTCCCAGACGTTGCTGCAATGATATCTTGTTGGTAGTTTGAAACTGACCATTGTGTGGATTTTCATACCATAGAAATGGACAAACATTTCAAATCATGGATCCTGTGCTTTTTGAAGAGTCAATTTATTAGTTCACATTGTCCAACTCACTGCTGTTCCACCATCACGGTTCCACCATCCGCGAGGGGGTGACTAGGTGACTAACTCTGCAGTGTTTGGGAGCTAGGTTGTGTCAGGTTGGGGCCATTGTCTTTGCATCCAAATCCCTTCTTATCCTTTAAGGTTGTTGGCCTCTAGTCATCTTTCCATAGCAGGGCGCAACGCCGGAATGTCTATCCTCTTCTTTGATGCCAAAGATTTTGGTCAAATATCAACCTTGGTTATACAACTAAGGCTTTAAAAATATTACACTACCCCTTACCCAAAAGTTTGTGGTTTGATAAAAGGCTGCAAAATCCTCTCCACTCAGACCTTCCTTAATTTACTTGATTTCTCTGCTTGCTTAGTAGACTGATTCCTAAGTGGTTAACACGAGCTATTGTCATTGAGCAAACGTGTTGGATGTGAAGACATTTTTCAAGTGTCACTTGCTGAGGTGTGAGATGTTACTGAATTTCCAGAAACGCCCAGGACAGAAGTTTCTTGGAAAACATTCACCTGAATTCAGCGTTGCTGGCACAAAATGACAAACAGGATACACATACATTCTTGGCACAAAAACTTGTGCTGATATAAACGGGTCGTGAGCTGAACGGGGAGAGCACTGAGCACAGCGGACGTGTTTGGCCAGCCTGTACAACCTTGAGAGGCACCTTCACAGAAACAGTAGGTTCAGTGGAAAGAGTCTGGGCCCAGTACATGTGACCGGATTCCTGTTTTCTCTTCTGTAAAAAGGCAGTGGTGATATGTACCTTGAGGAGGTAGGATTAAGGCCAACATTAGCAAAACAAATATTTGGGACATTTAAAAAAATTATCTAATGTTATCTTTTTGAGTTCGGTTTTGTCATCTAAAGAGGTTTATGTTCAACTGGGAAGAAACTAAAACCAATGTACAACATTCAATTCACTGCAGTATTTAGACCTTAGAGCCTCCCATCTGCCACCTGTCTGATGGTGAAAACACAATAATGTGTTTGTGGCTTACACGTCCATCGTGCAAAGATGGACCTGTTGACAAAGGAACTAGAGACAAGGCTTTTCATCTGCAAGGGTGAGGTCCAAGGTAAGATGCACATGAGAGTCTCCTGATTTTTCTAGAATAGATGATTATCTCATGGGTGAGGGCAAGGAGTTCTCCTAAAGGGTCACCGGTTTTCTAGCTCCTGTTGTTCAAGACTGTCAGGAGAAGGTGTTAAAACTGATGACTTCTAAGCCCCCAACATCTTTCAAGATCTATGATCTCTTGAACACACTCAGTGGCTGACTGAAGGGCCCCAAATCTTGTTGGTTGTACCGGGAGGGTCAGAAGATGAAAATGTTCTCAGAGAACATGCCCATGGCAATCTGCCGGGCAGTGCCTCAGTCATTGAGTCTCTGTATGGTCTGTGAGGAAGCCGAGGAGGTGCTATGAGGCTTCCTTGGAGTTAACTTGACCCTGGGGAAATGATAGCCTGTGACTTTATCTTATCTGAATAGGGGAGGCTCTACCACAAAGTGGGTGGAATTGTGCCCTCAAAAGGTGTCAGTCCTAGTCCCTGATACCTGTGAATGTGACCTTATTTGGAAAGAAGGTCCTTGCAGATGTCATCAAGTGAAGATGAGGTCATAGTGGATTAGGTGAATTCTAATCCAATGTCTAGTGTCTTTATAAGAGGAAGGAAATTTGGACACACACAGACACACACAGACACAGACACACAGAGATACCACGCCTGTGAGGATGGAGGCAGAGAGCAGAGGGTACCTGTACAAGAGGAATGCAAACCTTGTGGGCTTCCATCAGAAGTGGGGAGACAGGCAGTGTCAGCTTCTCCTGAAGAGCCTCCAGATGAGCCAATTCTGCTCACACCTTGAGTTTGGACATCTGGCCTTGAGAACTGTGGAAGAATAATCCCTGTTGTTAGACTTGCAGTGATTTATTACAGCGACCTTAAGAAATGAGTTCTCACTGCTGTACGAAAGTAGGTCTCTATCTGTATCTCTATCAACATCAATAGCATCAACCAGCCCAGGGGACCTGACTTTTCCAGTGTTTAATAGCATTTGCCTCGTCTTTTCCGATCATCACTTTTTCTCTCTCTCTGTTTTGGGTTTAGGCTGTCATCACGTTCACAATGGAGTCTCTGGTGGCAGCAAACACCAAGTTTTGTTTTGATTTTTTCCAAGAAATAAGCAAAAGTCACTGTCATAAAAACGTCTTCTACAGCCCTCTGAGCCTGTCTGCTGCCATCGCCATGGTCCGCCTGGGGGCCAGGAGCGACAGCGCACAGCAGATCGACCAGGTGAGCTCAGGACCCCCTGCTCAGCCAGACCCTCATCCTCTTTGCCAGCTCCTTGCTCCACTGCACTGTCCCCCACATTTCTGCACTGTCCCCCATCTTTCTGCACTGTCCCCCACCTTCCTGAAATGCTCTGGATAACTTGTCCTTTGCTTTCCTCAATCACTTGATTGGGTGGAGGTTCTAGAACAGCACTAATACAAATATTATTTGAATTATGTGTACAATTAAAATTTCTTTTGAGTAAGAAGAAAATAAAAAGAAATGTGAAGCTCATTTTGATAATATTTTTTGTTTAATCTAGTCCACCTCACATATTACATCCACCTGTAGTCCATTCAATTTGAGTAAGATATTTTGCCTTTTTTTCATATTAATTCTTCAATATCTGGTGCATTTTGCACTGTCACCTGAGAAGCGCTCAGTTGCCATACGTGGCTGTGGGCACCTCGACTGTCTCTTGGTTTGGTGGCATTCATTTGTACACGCAGTCTTGGGGGGACATCTCCCTTCCACATCACGCCCCAGGTCACACCCCAACACTGCTGGTTGTTCTGTCTCTGTCACGTCATGAAGCTTTTCAGATTTCACTTGGCCTGAAAGTCCCCCTGCTGTCATTTCACAGGTGCTGCACTTTAATGAATTTTCCCAGAATGAGAGCGAAGAACATGATCCCTGTTTGAAAAGCAGAACGCAAGGAATGTTGGCCGACAGCTCCCTGGAGGGGCAGAAAGCAGTGGCAGGGTCTCCAGTGGTGCAGGTGAGCCCCGTGAACTCCTGCCTCTGCCTGACCAGCCACTCGCCTGGCTGCGCTGTGCTGGCCAAGTTGCTAGTCCCTGATGTCAGATCCTGCTGTCAGCAGCAACCACACAGCGATAATCCCACAGGACCGCTGTTGTTTTCCGACAGGGTCTGATAATGCCCTCTGGTTTCCAAAAGAGCGAGATCTAGAACCTTCTGCTGCTGCTGAAGACATTCAGAGCATGGCTGTTAGGGCCACCCGCACTTGCAGGGCACTCCCCAGAATGGAGGAATCAGCTGTGGGGTCCCTGGTCTCTCCCCCGACTCTGCCTGTCCTATTTCATGCTGAAACCTTCATGCGGACACACTCAGCTGCTCTCTGTCCTCGCCCATCAGGAGCAGGACAGCTGTCCTCCAGGCTGTGGGGTCCCTCCCTTAGAAGGCTGAGGAGGAGCGTGGAGAAAAAGAGTCTCTTCCTTGTATCGTTTGGGATATAGAGAAAGACCAGGCCTAACACGGAGCGCATTGCTGAATTCCCAGACACATTCTTTCTGGAAGAGCTGGTGTGCAGGTGGGCACCCTGCCCCTCTCTGGGCACCTGTCCACCCTCCACTCCCGCTTTCTGTCAGCTTGCGCCCCCCCATGGCCACGAAGCAACATGACACCTAGTTTGAATGTGATCACTTTCTGATAAGCACATTTTGTTTCTTCTTTTGCCAGGAATCTTCAAACCCCGAGAGTGAACTGCTCAGTTGCCACTTCGGGCACCTTCTGTCCAAGTTAGACAGGATGAGAGCCGACTGCACCCTGAGTATTGCCAACAGGCTTTATGGAGAGAAGCAGTTCCCCATCTGCCCGGTGAGTTGGGCGTGACTGGCCAGGAGAGCAGCCCTCAGAACACAAGCCCTCAGCCGGGGTGATGTGCTGTGGACTGTGGGTGTCTAGCACCCACCTCTCCCCTCCTACACTTTCTGGTCCCTCCTCCCAGTTTTCCGCGACCCCCTCCCTGCGCAGGGGCCTGGTGGATGCACCTGGTAATGCCTCTTAGATGCTTCTGCTTCCCCCTGCCCCACCTGAGGCCCTTCTCTGAAATCACTTTTTGTGCCATGATCAGGTCACCCTCCCTCCCCCAAGAAACTACTCACTTATAAGTGGAGCTGCGTGTCTGGCTTTCCTGGCCTAGCAGCTGCATTCCGGGTGCAGGATGCAGGTGCAGCTGCACGACAGTGTCCCCTGCTGCCACTAGAGGACGCCACACGCTTAGCATGGCCATGAGGGGCGTGGCCAGTGGTTAAGGCTGCACAGCTGGTCAGGGCTGAGGGGCGCAGGTGCGGAGGGGGGACTAACTCACCTACTTGGAGCAGAATGAGCCTGTTCCCTCAGTAGGAAATCAGATTTCACGTGCTAGCAATTTTTAAAAACTGGTTTTATTGAGACACCTATGGAGCAATCCACCCACTAAAATGTTGCATATTACACTGTTATAAATAATTGCAATATATTATCTATAACATAACATTTACTTTTTCTTTTGCTGAATAGTGCATCATTTTTAAGAATGCAATTCAGTGGCATTGACTGCATCCACACTATTGTGTAAGCTTCACCCTCGTTCCAAAACCTTTCCTCATCCCAAACAAACTCTGTAACCATTAAGCAGGATTTTTAATAATTCTTAAAAGCAGAAGCATTTAAAAAGGCATCTCTCAAGTTCCTGGACATGTACTGGGCGTTATCGCCACAAAGGGGATGTGCAAATAAAAGAACATGTGGTCGGGAGGGTTGTGCTGTTGTGACTATGGATGTGCACAGACACATTCTGGATTCTCAGTTGTCAGCATAAGGACTGGAATTAGGATGGGGCTGGACGGAGTTAGGTAAGAAACCACACACCTCCACTCAGAGAGATCACACACATCTTTCTTGGGAAGCTTCTCAGGAAAGCCTTCTCCTCACCATTAGCACAATGACATGCCTTTGTGGGGCTATTTCTATTTATCCTCATTTAACAGGAGTACTCAGAAGGCGTGATTCAATTTTATCACACGACGATTGAAAGTGTTGACTTCCGGAAAGAAACTGAAAAATCCAGACAAGCGATTAACTTCTGGGTGGAATCTCAGTCCCGAGGTAAGGAAGCCTGAACTGGCGTTCTTTCCATTTCTAAGGAAACAAGTTGGCACCATTTTTTAAAAATTTATTTATTTATACAAGAACTGGGGTACAGCCAGATGCTTGGGAGGGTGAGAGGATTCACCAGAGACAGAGCGGGGAGCAGAACAGGCAGACTGAAGAAATACACTGCTGAGGGGAGCAGTGGGCAAGACAGGAGAGGTCCGCTGCACCATGTGGGTATGTCCCTGGCCTGCCGGGAATCGAACCGGTGCTGCAGAGGCTGCAGACAGCTTCACAGTGCTGCGCTCAACCGCCTGCGCTACCAGGGGAGGCCCCAAGTTGGCACCATTTTTCAAACTCTGTGTGTGTGTGCGCGCGCGTGTTTGTGTGTATATATGTGTGTGCACACCTGTATGTGTATGTGCAGATTTTCAATGCTCCCTTATATGAAGAATTAAGGACAGAGGGAAGCTGGGGAGGGAGGTCTAAGCTGGGGAGAGTGTTACTGGTGGAGGATCTGACTGGAGAATGGAAGGCAGGGAGTGAAGGGGTGCACTTGACTGAGTGGAGTATCACTGCACAACAGGAGGAGGTGCCGGGGGCTCGGACCAGGTGGGGGCAGCAGAGATGGTGAGAAGTGGTTGGATTGGAGTAATACTGAGAAGTCCCAAGGGTGTTGCTGGTCACCAGAGGTAGCCAAGGGTGGGCAGGGCTGGCCTAATCTTAGCCCCCCTTGCTGCTTTGTGGTCCTTCGCCTCCCTGCTCGCTGGCTGTGGTTTACTCTCCTGTAAAGAAGGGGAATCATGTCTACTTCTTATGGCTGATGTGGGTGGAATGAGAGAGGGCAAAGGAAATTTCCTCCGTGATCGCTTCCATCCTGGCCCTGTGCACCTGCGCGCCTCTGGCTCATCGTCAGTTCCCCGTACTCTACTGGGATGAGTGCCTGACATGGAAAGTTCATGCAATTCATTTTCTCAAGGAGAGAATAAAATGATCAGGTGGTGGGATCTTTGAAAAGATCAACGTGGCATGACATGTCTGATGATGACAAGTTCCATCACAGAGACGAGAAAATCTAAGGAAATGTCCTTAGTGACAGTCTCCGACCTGGATCCTTCAGGGTGGAGTGAGCGAGTCCCCCTGGCCCCCCATCACGTCCATTCTCACCTCCACTTTTGTCCCAGCCAGGGCCACGAGTGATCTAGTCTTCTTGGGTGAGTTTCCAAACGAGACAAACTCTCACCTGGAGGATGTTAAGCTGCGTTAAAAAAAGTCTGTGCATGTGGGTACTTGGCACAATGCACAGTCACGGTATTCCCTGGCACCTTGTTTTTTAAGGTAAAATCAAGGAACTCTTCAGCAAGGACACGATCACAGACGCCACGGTGCTGGTGCTGGTGAACGCGGTTTACTTCAAGGCCAAGTGGGAAAAATACTTTGACAGCGAGAACACAGTCGATGCGCCTTTCTTCCTCAGCGAGGTACTCACTGGGCTCCCTAAACAGCCGCTCGCTTCCTCTCAGAGTGATTTGCAGTGTGTACAGTCTAAAGACCACGTCTCTGGGCTGTAGTTCACCTTTGTGGTAAAAATATGTTGTTATTAACAGAGAGCGGTCCCTGAAGTTCACAGAGCCGTTTTGTGCCACAGAACATTTTCATTCATTGACCCCCCAAGTGATTTTATGACAGTTACTATTTCCATTTAGCTGAGGAGGGAAGTGCAAAATGTTCACTTTCTTAGCCAAGTATATGCATTGGTATTCAGTTTTGAGTGTTTGTCTCAAACAAACAAACAAACAAACAAAACCCCCCCCCAAAAAACCACACACAAAAAACCATGTGCTAAGCCCCCCGGCTGGAGTGTGGGTGACAAGGGAAGGGGCAGACTCCAGCCAGCACTTGTGAGCTGTGTCACTCTCTCCAGCACTGCGAACCTCACATGTGGGTTGAAGATACCCTTTATGTCCTGAGGTTGAGATTTAAGGTGTCTAGGGTGGTGCCTTTTCCTCTGGAAGCCTCTGGAAGGAGTGTTGTTTTTAATATTAGATGGTTACCATGTATCCGAGTTGGCACAGTGTGGCCAGCAGGGGCATGGGATGTGTGAGGCTGAGGAAGGGGTGAAGCAGGCAACAAGGGAGAAAGCTGGCTGTCCGTGAGCTGATACCTGGATGGCCAGTCTACCAGCAAATGGTCTTAGTTGCTTGAAGCACCTTTTAGTTCTTGGCAAAGTGTCAGTAAGGCCCGGGCCAGCTGATTTGTGGACAGAGGACTCTCTTAGGCCCAGCACTCCTCGTGAAGACCCTTCCCGTCCCATCTTAGCAAACTCCTGTTTTCAAGGAGGTTGGGGACCATGTGAGTTTGCAAGCCCATGATCAGTTCTGTGACCTTCTCTCCGGTCCACTACAGAATGAAAGGAAGACCGTGAAGATGATGCATCTGAAGGGCCCCTTCAGACTTGGCTTCATAGAGGAGCTGAAGACCCAGATTCTTGAGATGAAGTACACTAGGGGCAGGCTCAGCATGTTCATCCTGCTGCCTTCTTGCTCTGAAGATAATCTGAAGGGCCTGGAGGAGGTACGCTTCCTTTTCAGGCTCTGAAAAACATTACACGATAGAGCTTCAGAGAATGGCACCATCTACCAAGTACCATCCGAGGAAGGATGGTGCCAGAGCGTGATTTCAAGAGTATATAAGATTGACTTTGGTGAGATGTTTATTCTCATTTGTTTAGAACTAAAATGAATGCCTTGCTTGGTGGGTAGGACTGTCCTCTGGAGTCTCATAGCCCTCTGCAACCCTTTCCTACAGATCAAGGAGTCCAAGTAACTTGAGAATTTCTACAGCTTCTCCTTCACTCTGAATACCCTGACTTCTGCTGTCCCTCTCAGACTAGTTTGCTACAGCTCGGTTAGAGACCCTTTGGCTGACTCTGTTTTGGGTGCTTGTGCTTGGACAGAAGTGGAGATACTGATAGTGGAATAATTTGCTGGTGAGGTAGAAATTAATAAACATGGGACGTTCAGCTACATATTGTCCTGTGGGGTAAGAGAGAGAGATGGAGAGAGGATATGGGGAAAAAATACCAGCATAGTGATTACAATAAAAAACATTATTTAAAATGGATCATGTGCCAGAACTATGTTAAATACTTTATATACATTATTTTTGCAACCCTTGCAAGAGCCCCAATATTGTCTCTGATGGACGAGGAGTCTGAACTAAAGGTTGTTCAGCATTAGCCAGGTTCGCTCATCTTAATCAACCGAGCTTGGCTGGATTGGAACACTCCTCTGGCAGAACCCTGGAGCCCAACTTGTCTTTAGACTTTTAAAGAGGAACGAGACCTGTGGGGAAGAGTTTTAATGAAACGAGAGTGTTTTGAGGCTTAGGGGAAGTGTTTGAAGAGTGTTACTGCTGAAATAGACGTGGGTCCTTAAAAGTATTTGGGGGATTCTTTACAGAATCATAACCTGACCCTAAACACTCATTTCTTCCTCTGACAGCTTGAAAAGAATATCACTTATGAGAAGATAATGTCCTGGAGCTGCCCAGAGAATATGTCAGAAGAAAGCGTGGCTGTCTCCTTCCCCCAGCTGACCCTGGAGGACAGCTACGACCTCAATTCTATTCTCCAGGACATGGGCATCACGGATATCTTTGATGAAACGAAGGCGGATCTTTCTGGAATCTCTCCAAATCCCAGCTTACACCTGTCAAAAGTTATTCATAAAACCTTTCTGGAGGTGGATGAAAATGGCTCTGAAGCAGTGGCCGCTAGTGGGGTTGAAGGGGAGACAAAGTCCTTGCCATCCTGGGTGACATTTAACGCCAATCACCCTTTTCTCTTTTTCATCAGACACAACAAAACCCAAACCATTCTATTCTATGGCCGGGTCATCTCTCCCTGAAGGGTGCACACAGTCTAGTATCAGGAGCTGTAAGAAAGTGGCACTACACCCTCCCCTGGCACGACACGGCCACTTGTGTGTTTGCTGCTGTCAAATGCTGACCCAATTCCATCACAGCCCTGCTCCCACCCCCCAGCCACTGGCCTGTGCTTGACCTGATCTTTCTTTCACCCTGAAGTTGATTTTCTTCTAAGTCCATTAGTACTCAAGGGCCCTCCCTCCCTCTTTCATCTTTCACCACCCTAAGCTTTCAAGGACATAAATGAGCCCCCTGTGACCTGAAGGTCAACAAAATTGAGAATGATATTGACTTTATTTAAGTTCCTACCTCCTGATGAAGGAATGCTGAATGGGGAAACTCAGAAAACACTTTGACATGGTGGCAGGAGAAGGCATTTACATAGAGTGTGTTTTGGAAACTCAGTCCTATTTCCATAGCAGTTGAAATCATGGTGGTCACTGGGCAAGGTGTCCTGGCCCTCCTCTCACATCTTCTTCCTCAAGGAAGACGTCCCGTGAGGTGCTCCTCACTCGGGACCCAGTAGGACATGAGGGCAGATGTGAGTGATCGCTCAGGGGTGGAAGACTGCTCCAGCCAGCCCTCATTTTGCACAGAGCAGGAGGTCAGTATTTGTCTTGTGAATCTGAGGTGGACCAGGGGCAGTGGCCAGTGGATATACAAGAGGTCAATCGTCGTTTTCCTCATTGAGTCTTCTAGGCCATCATCATGAAGCATGTCTCTCTGTCTCTTCCTCGTCCCCATCCTCAGAGAATTCTCACCTGTAGTTATTCCTACATCCCCAGCATGGTGGGGTAGGGTGGGAAAGGCTGTCCTCACTGTGGGCCACTAAGCACCCCACTGTCTCCTCTCCTCTGAGCTCTGGCAACATGGACATGTCACAAGAGCAGGTCTGGGACTGGACCTGATGCACACGGAGACCCTTGTCAGGAAGGCTGTTGGCTTCATGTTAAATTTCAATGTCCCAAAAGCCCAACACCTGGGTGTTCAAGACTCTAGGGCCTGGGACTTCATTGTCTGACACGTCAGTCTCAGTGCTTGGTGTCTGCCTTAGGCCACTGACAAGCCTCACTCAAGGCACTGGTCATATGTGTTCTGTGGAGGTGAATTTCTGGTCTTGGTGATGGCCCTGCTCTATGACTGTCCTCCCAGCTCCACTCTATGGCCAGGTATAGCTCTGCCAACACTTTTTCTTGTAGGCAGAAGCAGGTTAACTTCACCTGCACCATGCTGGTCCCTCACCTCTCCTCTACTTCCTGCCCCAAGAGACAAGTCCCCTTCTTCTTCCAGGCTTCTCATTGTCAAAATTTGTTTATGGAATAAAAAATTTCTTGTTGGCAATGTGAGGCAGTCTGAAGCAGCTCTTCCAAGTCCTTTACTCAGAACGCACCTCCCACAGGTCACGCTTATCCCAGGTAATCAAATTTGTTGTCTCTGTTTTCATTCCTTTTGGGGTCAGTGTTTAGAGGACTGATTGCCTGCTGACCCAGTGTCAGTGCTGGGCTCTGAGCTGGATGACCATAACCCTGACACAGGGCTGCATCATCTGGCGTTGCTTGTGTCATATTCTTTTCCTTGATAAATGCATTGGTGTTAAAATGTTTCAGAATTTTAATCATGAGGGGAGATTATTTCTGTTCATAATCATGAGGAAATGATATTCTCAAATCTTTCTGTAAATCAATAAACACATTCTTTATTAATATTTGATTGATTAAAATCTTTCCTCTTAGAGAATAAAGCACTTTTCTCATTATTTAAAATTTGTATGATGTGTTGCCAACTTTTATAGTGACATAAATTTAAATTTTTCACTCCCTGGGGATGTAGACTACCTTCTATAGAGAACAGGGTGGAGGTTTCCATTTCATTAAAATTAGATCTACTATATGATCCAAAGATCATATGGTATCTATCCAAAGTATCCAAAGATTACAAAGACACCAATTCAAAGGAATATAACCAGTCCCATGTTTATTACTGCACTATTTACAGCAGATCAGTAATGGAAACAATCTTAAAGACCAACAGTAGATGAGTAGATAAAGATGTGGCATATATACACGACGGAATACTACTCAGCTATAAAAAGGATGAACTCTTCCAATTTGCCTCAACATGGATGGAACTGGAGGGGATTATTTTAAGTAAAATAAGTTGGAAGGAGAAAGAAAATATTGGATGATTACACTTACATGTGGAGTAAAGCAAAGAAAATGAACAGACAAAAACAAACCAAAACAAACCACTGAAATCTGACTGAAGAACTGAGGCTATCAGAGGGGGTATTGATGGGAGGAAAAGTGGCAAGGGAGCTCACTGGACTATTGTGGAGGATTATTGATGCTTTGGTAGTGGGCATGGTTTGAGAGTATATATTTGTAGAGTTGTGAATCAAGACACCCAATACACACAATGTTGTAAATTAATGTGACTTCAATAAACACAATTAAAATTTTTTTCACCCCCAAATAAGAAAGATATAATACTAGCAATTCATTTTGGTTATATCAGAAAAATGTATCTTGCATCAGTATTGGTTTCACCCAAACTTCCACCATAGTTACATATGAAAAAGAGAAAAATCTCACAATTCTAAAACCCAAGAGTGTCAGACAATGGCTCATCAGAGTATGGAAGAAATATCTGCTAGCTACAGGTACATGGGACAGGGTGGAAAGGCACTGCTGAGGGGTTCCTTATATCCACTGTGTCATTCTGCCTGATCTCTCCCCACACTGCCTACCCCTGAGTTCAAAAATACAGCTCTCTGCCTGTCTACATTCTGGACATCTGTCTCTCTACTTAGTACTCATTGCTGTCTCCTAGTCTCTGTCTTTCTCAATTCTTTGTTTTCTTTCTAGAGCCATTTCTTTCCAAAGCCATTGATTTCGTTCTATAGCCGATGAGTAATGAGCCATTACTCATTACTTATTGGGGAATGAAACTCCTCAATACAATTTGGAGATGGTGAGGACAGGCGTTGGCTCTTTCTATCCTAGGCAGTTGAGTCATCATATCATAAATAAAGCACTTTTGGTGGGACAAGGACAGAAAGAGCTCTGGGGGCAGTGTCCTTAGCAGTGTGTATTCATCGACCCTCTCTGTTTAGGGTATTAGAGTCAGGCTTTTCAGAGGGGGGTGGGATCTGAGATCAGCAGAACTACACTAGATGGACGCCTCTGAGACACTGATAATTATGCTCACAGTTGGGAGCTCTTGATTTTTCATTCTCGCACCTGTGAAACAGACATTCAAAATGGCAGCCGGAGGCGGAGATAACTTGCAAGAAGGCAGGCTGTTAAACTAGCTAGAAAACCAACCAGAGCTTGCAATTTAGGGGAGTGAGCTCCTCCATGTCTACTTTAAATTTCCCTCCACCCAGCAATGCTGATGGGTAGAACAAGCAAAGCAATGTAGATTTAAAACTGATTTGTTTATAAAGAAATATATAAATATTAATCTTTCTATAAACATTTCTGAAAGAGAAACCATGAAGGTGTAGCCCCATGGATTCCTCAGTTTTTTTCTAGTTCACAGGTGTTGTGTCCTCTCTTTCCTTCAACCCAGTTTGCCTCATGATTTTATTGCACATTATCTCATTTTTATTAGATATTTCTCCCTCTAGCTCCTTCCCAGTTTTACCTTGAGTCAGACAAGCCAGAACATGTGTTGTTTCATCGCTGATTGGTGTTTACTTCTTTTGCATGTACCTCACTTAAAAAATTAGAATATCATTAACCTGAGGTGGAGTCCTGTATCTGGGGCGACAGGGCGAGGAAGCTGTGCAGTTGTCTTGGTGAATTTCTTTGTTCCTCAGTTAAATGCCAACTTTAAACATGATCTTCATTCATAGCACTCATGTTGCAGCCTTGTTTTCCCAATCCCACTGTCTTTTTTTTCCTTTTTACTCAATAAAAGAACACAAAACTCACTCTCACCTTTGCTTACCTTTTACCAACTGACTCATATACTTAACATTTAAATTAAAAATTCTCATATTTAAAGACAACATTTACTTTCTAAATAATGTTATCCATAACGTACATCAATGTTTTAGATACAGAGGGGTGAAAGGATTTAAGAAGTGTCGAATGCAGAACAATGGGGCTGATGGATATCTGGACATTCTTGGTTGACACCTACAGGCCAACCCATGTCAGGATTAGTAAGTGGGAAAAACTATATGGTTATGCGAAACAATTGTGCAAAAGAGTCCTCCACCACAATCCACCCTCCCTACCTTGCTTTCCTCCCTCTCCCCCTCTCTCTGGTAGCCTCAACTCTGCAGTCAGATTTCTAGGGGTTGTTATTGGTTTGCTTTTATTTAACCCTTTATTTTGTTTCCCTATATTCTACAGATAAATGACCCAGTTGAATATTATTCTTTCCCGATCTGATTTATTTCGCTTAGCATAATCCCCTCCAGGTTAATCCATGTTGTTGGGAAAGGCAAGAGTTATTGTTTTTTCCCCTATAGCCAAATGTATTCCATTGCGTGTATACACCACATCTTCCTGATCTACTCATCTTTCTTTGGGCACTTAGGTCATTTCCATAGTTTGCTGTAAACAGTGCTGCAATGAACGTAGGAGTGCATACATTTCTTTGAATTCCATTCTTCGGGATTTCTAAATCATATTTTTAATATTTTGAGAATGCCCCTAGGTTTTAAATTAGGCTTTCTCCAGATTCAGTTTCTAAAAGAACGTCCTCATTTTTCTTCCATTACCTATATGATTTCAGTTTTAAAAATTTAGATCTCTGATTCAACTGGGATCATTCTCAACATTGGTGAAATATGAATCTGATTTTGATTTTTTCCCCCACATAATCAACCAGTTGTTTCAATACCACTTATTAAAATGTCTGTCTATACCTTGGAATTTGAGACAGCACATTTATCATATACTAGCTTGCCATAGATGCTTTGGTTTATGATCCTTTTACCCTGTCCAGTGGTCTGTCTATTCATGTGGCGATAGCAAGGGGTTTTAATTATAGAAGCTTTACTTCTTTGCCTTTTCAATGTTTTCCTATATTTATTCCACTTGCTTATTTTTCTACATGAATTTTAGAATTCAAACAAACAATTTTCATTTTGTTCTGTTTCACTTTTTTTTTAAACATTTATTTATTTATTTATTTATTTTATACCAGCACTGGATACAGTCAGAAGCACAGGAGAGTGAGAGAATTCACCAAAGCCAGATGGGAGAGCAGAGCAGGCAGACTGACGAAGTACACTGCTGAGGGGAGCAGCAGGCGGCAGGAGAGGTCTGCACACCATGTGGGACCCTCGTCAGTGGCTGGGGATCAAACCGGTGCTGCAGAGGCTGTGGGCAGATTTGCAACCCAGTGCTCAACCGCTGCGCCACCGGGGAGGCCCACAACTTTTTCTCTTTTTAACTTTTCCTTGTGATATTTCAGAAAGTACTTTTTTTTTTTTGGTTCTGGACATTGCTTTTATATTGTATTGTTATGTAATGTTACCCTACTTCTTTCCTTACCTAAGCTTTTTATCATTTTTAAGTGATGTGTTGACTCCTGTATTACCTCATCAATAGTCAATCAATGGACTTATTCTATATGCTCATTTTTCTCCAGTATCACTTCCCACTGTCTAAGATGTGTTATTTCTACCTTGCCAAAACATATCAAACATATACAACTTACATATTACTTATCTACCTTTATTCCCATATTCATTTAGTCTTCAAGCTACAATAAAATATATTACTGCTCACTATCAGACTTTTGCTGGAATTTTCCCAATCATTTTTGTTGTTGCATTAAGCTCATCCTCTGTAGATATCTCAGGAAGGATTAGGAAGTACAACTTTCTTGAAATTCTCAACTGTTTAAAGCTGTTTCTCTATGGTCTTGATTTATGAAAGAAAACTTATTGGGGTATGAAATCCTTAATTTTATTTTTCCTTGTGTTTCTGATATAATGTTCTACTGATTTTTATGTTGCTGTGAAGCTGTCTGATGTCACTGATCATCTATACTTTATGATAACTTGATTCATTACTCCCCTACCAATGCACCTCAACTCTTCTCTCTGGAGATGTTAAAGAATATGACTTTTTTTCTAGAATATATCTTAGAATTGATCATTTGGGATTAATCTCCCATGTATGTTGTAGGCCCTTTCAATATAGATTTGGGATTTATTTTATTTTTTGAATGCTTTCTTGGATATCCTTTTAAATATTATTTCTATGCCAGTACTTTAGAGGCTATAGTTGTCATATTTTAGACTTTGCTTGTCTTCAATCTTTCTTTTTGGTCCTTTATTTCTTCTTTTCTTTCTCTATTTTTATTTTTTTCTTTTTCCTTATAGTGTGTATTCTTTTGTAGGCAATTGCTATTTAGTTTTATTACTGAGATGATTTTGTTATTTCTGTAATTTTTCTTGAGTTTAGACAGATCATTATGCAGCTTTGTATTTGCTGCATGTTTATTTTATCATTATTGTTGATTTATTTTCTGAGTTTTGAAATGATTGGTAGCATTTTTCATGTCTATAATTGCTTTTCAAATATAATTTATAAGATAGTTTATGTTGCAGCTTTGTTTTTTGGCCTCATGGTTGATTTCTTAGGGGAATATTTTCAATGTTGTTGGAACATTTTGAATTTTACTATTTTCTTCTTTTATATATATA